GCCTCGCAGAGGAAAACCAAAAACCGATTTGTGTAACTTTTAAATTGAATTTGAATCCCTTTTGTCAAACTCAAATACATGCACTATATAATAAATTTACATTGATTTATTTTTATTTTTTTTTTTGCTGTATTTTCTTCTTTATATCGAGGTCTTACAAATTGGTCCAGCTAGGAACATGCGACCTCTGAGCAACTGGCATAAAGGTGTCGACATTCACAATTTATTGTCGCATTTCCAACAAGGCGCAGGCACAGGACAGACAGACAGACAGACAGAATGACAGACAGTCCGTCCCCTCATGTAAACTGTTCGCATAGCATATATAAATATTCAGGTATATGAAATCAGATTAAATTATCCTTAACAAATTGTGTCTCAAAACGCAAAGCACAAAAGGCAACAACAACTTTGACTAAGGGCGACAAATATGGGGATTTTGGGGAGTATAGAAAAAAAAAAACATCAAAAATAAAATGTTGTCTCTTGTGCTCAGCTCGTATACAGCATATGTAGAGTCCTCCCTAGATTGTCGAGGATAGCTTGGCCAGAAATGTACTTTCTAGCCGCAGGCACAGAATGCCGCACAAAGCACTCTTTTCAGTCTATTAAAACGGTTCGCTGGCTCGCTTGTCGCTCTTGGCCCTTAACTTTTTTGTCAGCTTTGCGGTTAGCTGGCAACCAACAACAACACACTCCCCCTTACTCCCTTACCCCCATTGAGAGCTCAACGAGGCGCGCTTGAAAACACTTTTAATTGCCTTTTAATTGTTTTTGCAAAATGAAATTTTACAGCATAACGGTATTCCAGCATTGAAATCGCACTCACATTTGGCCTAATTACATTTCAGCCTTTTGTGTACGCTGCCCTGTCTGCGCCCATCCCTGGCCCATACCTGATCCCAGTGGGCGTGGGCGTGCCTTCCACCCGCCCAACTGGGCTGGCGAGCGTACATTTTGTCATTTAATGGACCACTGGGCGCATGATTTCATTGAGCCAGTGACACAGTTTGTGGAGGAGTCTTCAGTTTCAGTTTTGCAGTTGAATATTTTGATTAGCGCCTGAAGCGACGAGTCGCGACAACAATATCACAACATCATCATTGCACAAATAACCAGAGAAAGAAGAAGAAGAAGAAGGAGAAGGACCAATAATTACTGCTTCGTTAGGCAATTAGAATGGAATTGAGATTGCTTTTTGAATCAGCGACAAGTTCAAGGGCGACCCTGTTACTCTACCCAAACTACAATGCCAATGGATGTGAATACTGTGAATGAATATGTGGGTGCGTAATTTCTTAGGTAGCTATATCAATTTTATACTTGGGTCGTGGTGGATTGGCGTAGTAAGAGTGGCTTGCAATTACATTCCCAAAGTACTTGAAATATGCAAAGTCAATTTTCGTTATTGTATTCAGCCTACGATATCATTAATATTATATATATATGTGGGTGCCTAGTGGCTGGCAGTTATATTTCAGAAACTGCTTGAGATATGTTTCAAACATTTTTTCGTATGTAATTAAGTGTGATTTAATTGAATATTTACTTACGAAATTGCTATAGATGAGCATTCTGGAACTTTATACAGCACATTTAGATTTTTACAAGAGTTTAGAAGAAACTAACTTTATGGAAATGAAGATTCCTTATATGCTATTTTAATTCAAATTAAACTTGGAGTTTTAAATGCAGTGTCAAATTTGAAAGCGTTGGTTTTTTGCCATTTGATTTTGAAAGTACATTTTTAATGCAAATCAAGTTTCTAAATTTGAATGGGGGTATTAAAAAAATGCTTAAAATTAAATCATGGCTCAACTTTTACGAAATTATGACAGTATGAATAATATGAATCGTCAAGTGGATTTTCGGACTTTTGATTTATAAACTGAAAACCGATTTAAATTTGAATGCAGTCATAATAATGATGGCAACTCATGGTCAAAAATGCATTGATATTTAGCTTTGATAAACTTATGACATTAGAGAATTTAGAAATGATATTGTTTTAACATTAGTTAAAGTTGTAAGGTAGTTTTGCCTCTTAAGCTTCAAGAAATATTTTTTATATTTTTAGTTGCATAGGTCTAGGTTTTTTGCTTATGTATCTATTGTTATCAGCGATTCCCCAACGAAACCCTACGAGGCAGACTAAAACATTTATCCAAAGCATAACAATGCGGCGACGCATAAAACATATAAGATGAAAGATACTATAATGGGCACAGCCAAAGCCACAGCCCAGCAAAAGTTATCACACACACTCATCTATTGTAAATCGTTATGGGAGCTGGCGCAATGCGTACGCTATCAAAGTTATGTATCTATGTATCTATTATGAATGTATCTACAGCCAAGGTAACCCCTAAAGCGGCAATTGTTGTTGTTGTTGCTGTTGTTGTTGCTGCTGTTGTTGCTTGTTGCTGGTTAGTGCTGGTTGGTGTTGGTGTTCGGGCACAATCGCAATCAGTAGCCGTAGTTGCCACCGAAGCCTCGCCTCGCCTCGCCACCTCGCCTCCTCTCCTCTCCTCTCTCCACCTCACTTGTAATGCAATTATCCTAAATGCTCAGCCAACTACTCAAAAAGTCATCGTTCAGATTTAACAAGAGCCAAGCAGCAGCAACTGCCAGCTGCACCGACACCGGTTTCAGATACAAAAAAGCCTCGTGCAAGCGAGATACGGATACGGATACGGCAATGGTTCTGGCTCTCTGCGTCTATATGCTGCTTACTTTGCTTATATGTCTATGGCGTCGTGTTAATGGCGAATATATACACACACACATACATACATACACACGCATATGTACAGCAGTGGGGTGGGGTGTGGGTTGGACACAGTTACGGTTAGGGGCACGCCTCTGTATGGCGGCAATTTCGAAAACTCATTTACTTGTGGCATGTAAACAACTAATCTGTTAACACTACGACAAAGCGCTAAACTTACAACACAACACACTCTGCGCCACACACCGCTCTTCACTCTTCACTCGACACTCTTCAGTCTTCAGTCTTCACTCCCCTGTCCGTCCCACAGTGTCGCTAACCACCCCGCTTTTGACTATGTTGTAGCAGGCAGCAAACCGCGCTTGTAAATACATTTCCCTCATTTGACGGCATAATCAAAAGTTTTTGCTCTTCTTTTTTACACAATTTTTTTCTTTCATTTTTTTGCCTTTGCCAAAATGAAACCTAAATTTCGTATTCTGTATGGATTTTAGGGGTTAGCTGTGCTGGCAAGGGCTGGAAGCTATGATTTCCTTAGCGGTCCCGTTAGCAGCGAGGTTGACGTCGACCGAGCCAGCCACATAGTATCAAACATTTTGCTACACTTACACAATATGTTGCACTTACAGTGGGTCAACGAATTTTTTAAGTTATGAATGCAACTAAATATTCTGCTAATAGTATTGAGCAGTCTATTCAAATAATGAGAATTCAGCTATAAAGAAATCAAAAATTGCTTAAGTTGATTTGGTCGGAAACCTTAAAACTATGATTATGTTTTAAATATTTAAATAATGTTGTTGGCTTTATCTAATGATTTGAGAATGCTATATTTATTTAAATATACAGGTTCTAAATTTGTAGTATCTTTGAGATGAACCAATAAAATTGAGTTTTTAACAATATTGACTGCAAAAGTGATTAATCATTTTAATACACTTGATTTTGAGAACACAAACATAAACTCATTAGAGAGTCGATGACAACGAATTTTCCAAAAGATTCTTATTGTTAGCTTTCTAATTTATATATATATATATAATCGCAAGTAAACATACTTTTTTAAGCGTATTTTCGAATTGTTTTTATTGTTGGAAGGGCTATTTAAGTTATTTAAATTGAAATATACAATGACACTATTTTTAAGCATAAATTCATATTGTTTTTATTGTTCGAAGGGTTATTTAAGTTGCCGAATTTGGAATATACAATTGTAAAAAATTTAACCACCACTATGATATATTTCTTATAAGTTAAAAAAATGTATTAGTTTTTCAATATTTTCAAATGAAAATTTTTAATATGTTGTTTAGTATTCCACTTATTTGTGAAAGAGAGCACTGGTCTTGTAATGTATATTAAAATAATATTAAATTTTAAGCGATAGGCTCTAGCAAGTAACGAAGTTATATATATTATAGAACATGCTTACACAATTTCTTATCCCTAACTACATATATCATTATTTGAAAGTCTTTGCTTTCTTTTAAGTATACACCTCTAACTAGCTGCCAAATAGATTGACTGGTTATGTAAATAAATGTGCTTACGTCTCAAATGGGGAAACCCTATTTGTTTTTTTTATTAGCAATCGAACCACTGTGCAGCAGGGCGCTGCTCTTGCCTGTAGCCTGTAGCTGCCGCTTTATTTGATTTCTTTATCAAAATATCAACGAACCGCTGCCTTCCTCCTCACACATCACACAGCAACTGCCCCTCCCTCCCCCCCCCCCTTGTTCGACAACCCATTGCAATTGTAACTGTATGTATGCATGTATGTATGTAGGTATGTATATATGTATGTCTGCTTGTGTATGTATAGCAGGGCTTATATACATTTCATTTAAACGCAACCGGGGCTGACTACCACCGCAGCCGCAATGCCGCCGTGCGAGCGAGACAAGTGCTGGCAGTGCTGGCATGCATGCGTGCGAGCGAGACGACTAGTGTGTCATCATCGTTCAGGCCACTCAGCGACTTTTAGTGCGCCCAGGAACGCCTACCCAACAGCCACTGCTCTCTGCCCCGGGTATGGTGGTGTTTCTCAGTATCCGTATCTGTTACTCAGTCTCTGTGTGTGTGTGTGTGTGTGTGTGTGTGCCGCAACTCGTTTCTGTATCTGTGTGTGTGTGTGTATCTGTATCTGTAGCTGGCAGCTGGCAGCAGTAGCTAGTAGCTGCTGCTGGCTCTGTTGCTGCCAGAGTATCTGTATCTGTGGCGCGTCATTGTTGTGCGTTGCCCCGTTGCCATCGTAACCAACGTTGTCGCCGCCGTCGCCGTCGCCGTCGCCGTCGTCATCATCATCGTCGTCGTCGTCGTCGTCCATCGCATAGTAGGCAGCTCAGTTACAAGACCATTATTTGACGTATTTTTTGTGCGCTCGGTTGTACAGCTTTTGGTTTGGTCGCGTCGGATCGGTCTTGGTTATATCCATAGCACAACGCCCCAGCTTGGTCACACTGCGAACGCAATCCGGATTTGGATCAGCAGCAGCCAGCAGCCAGCCAGCCAGCCAGCCAGCCAGTTGCACTTTCGTTGTTGTCGTTGTCGTCGTCGGGTATCGGAATCATTTATTAGCATTCATTTGCTGTAATCATCGAAAAAGGATCCCCAACAAACGTCGCGTGTGATCGATCCACCAAAATGCCAAGTTAATCAACTGAGTGACTTGTGCTTAACAGATATATATATATATACACATAGAGAAAGTATATATATATGCGAAATATCTAGTGACTGTGTGTTTTGGAATATTACAACAACAAAAAATATACATAAATACTGTGTGTGGTTTTTGCTTGGGAAAATAGTACTCGTCGATACTAAAATTCTTTCGTTTTGGTGCGGAATAGTATGCGAATTTGTTCACAGTGGATTCAACGCATAAAATGGCCGTTGGACCGACGGAGGGCAAACAGCCGCCCACAGAGACATTCTCGCCGACCCATCATCAGATTATAGCACCCAGTCCGATATTGGCTGTGCCGACGCTGGCCTTCTCCGCCGCCCAAGTGGAAATCGTATGCAAGACCCTAGAGGATTCCGGCGATATTGAGCGTCTGGCGCGATTCCTATGGAGCTTACCGGTCGCGTTGCCCAACATGCACGAGATACTCAACTGTGAGGCGGTGCTCCGGGCCCGGGCTGTTGTCGCCTATCATGTCGGTAACTTCAGGTAGGCTCTCCTCCAAAATTGCCCATTTAGCCAAATGAAAAAAGAAGAAAAAAAAAACAAAAACAAAACCGGCAAAAAAACAAAAATAAACAAAAAAAAGCATTCAGCTCAAATATCAGCTCTGATTAACCTCGATCTGCCGTTGACAAGGAGCAAATTTGGGGGTAATAGGGAGCAGCAGGGGGAGGAAGAGTCGGGCACAATTTGGTTATTCGATAGTTTTTCGTTGAGCTTTCTGTCTGTGTTGAAGTTGTTGGACACGGACACAATGAGCTACGTAAATTAATAAACAATGGCATTAATTTACTAATTAAAGAACTCGACTGGGGCCCCCAAACAATTGCAGCAGCAGACTTTGATTAATAAAACACCGACCTCCGAACAAAAGGCACAGCCAGGATTCTGATCTATAGGAGTGTGCTCTCTGACATTTCAGCTTCCGTCTCGTCTCTATTGGAATGCTTTTGCACAAAAACTATATTCTCAAGTTACACACACTAAACACAGAATAAAACTCAAATAAAAAAGCAATTTGAAATTGCCGGAAACAGTTCATTGAAACTACTACTGACAAGATTTGCATGCTTAGCTTTCAGTTAAACAAAACTCAAATAAATGCCAAGATTAGCTGATCTGAGAACATTTCAGCTTGCTTGAACATCAAATTTCCCACACGAAAGAGTTTATGGAAATGGTTGACTAAATAAATGTATGTCCACAATTAACTGCATGATTGACAAACTACTTTAACTAGTCATAGATACATGTATCCAACGCATACTGTACCGCGCTGAAGTTGCCTCAAGATCAGGTTATTAACAAGTGGACAAACACGTCTCCACGCGACTCTCCATCTTTGAGATATCATTAAACAAATACTGAAAACATTTATACGTTTTATTACAGCCCGCTTATGGCTGAATCAAGTTTGATATATTGCTTATGACAGCTGACAACTGACAACAACAAAAATATCCATTGAGCAATGTGCTTTAATACATATTTTGCAAGTCAACTAAATGCTAACTAGTCGAGTAACGTATTAAAAAATATGAAAACGATTGGGAAATAATAAGTATTAAGTGCTTTGCATAAAACAAGTAATTAAAGCTGCCTGATGTCCGAAAAAACGTTAGCTTCACTTTTAGCATACTTAGCCAGTATTTAAATACTTAAAATGAGTTTAGATTGTGTAACTTTTAACAGTTTAAATTGCTAAAAACTCAATCAATCTTTCTATTTACATATATTCATCTGCATATATTTCACATGTCAATCACTGTCTTTATATAAAGCGAACAAATACACACATATATATATATCCATATATAATCCGAGAAGAGCTTCTGAAATAGCAAGTGATTTGATTGCTTTGAGCTGCAAAAATAAATGACTTTCAATTAAAACAATTTATTGAACTGAACTGAGCTGTCAACGCCAGTGACGACAATCAATGCTTATGAAATTGTTTCAAAATACATACATATGCCGAAGTTAGAAGCGAACTGAGGAACGACACGAGTCCATTAGTCACAGCACAGCAGGACATTCAGGATATGCCCAGCAGCTTTTACTTTTAGGGTTGTTTAGCTTGAGTGTTATATGGAATAAATATATCCAACGTAAAATGCTGATCGAGATAGCGAATTAATTTAGATAAATAACTAAACAGTTGACTTGAATCCTTCAGCTAAGACATCTTTTTATTAAATGAAAATTTGAATGCCAATCATTTAAATTATTTTATTGTCTGTTTTTTTTAGGGAACTGTATGCAATAATAGAGAATCATAAATTTACAAAAGCATCCTATGGCAAACTGCAGGCAATGTGGCTGGAGGCGCACTACATTGAGGCAGAGAAGCTGCGAGGTCGTTCGCTGGGTAAGTACCAAACTCACAAAATATTCCTAGCCATATGCCTAACCAGATCATAACCCTATATCATATAATATATGCTAATTGCAGGTCCCGTTGACAAATATCGTGTACGCAAAAAGTTTCCGTTGCCGCCAACGATTTGGGATGGCGAGCAGAAGACGCACTGTTTCAAGGAGCGCACGAGAAGTTTGCTGCGCGAATGGTACCTACAGGATCCCTATCCGAATCCAACCAAGAAACGTGAACTGGCCAAGGCCACCGGCCTGAATCCCACGCAAGTGGGCAATTGGTTTAAAAATCGACGTCAACGCGATCGTGCCGCTGCTGCCAAGAATCGGTAAGTTGATCCAAGATGCATCATTAGTTGGCCATTAGAAAAATGTGCAAAAGCCAACAGCCAACAGCATCAGCAGCAGCAGCAGCAGCTGAGTAATCCGAGCTGCTCGCTGCTGCTGCTGCTCGCTGCTGCTGCTGGCCATATTAAAGCGCCGTCAAGCAAAGCAGGCGTAAACTGATATCTATCAGCATCCATGTGGAAGTGGAAAATAATGTGGATCGCGGGGGTCGCACACAGGAGCAGGCAGTAGGCAGTAGGCCGAGCCGTGTAGTGTGTGCCGCTGCTGCTGCTGCTGGTCGCTGCTCGCTGCTGGCGTTTCCATTTCATTGATCCGTGCCGGCGGCGGTGGCGGCGGCATATCCATCGAAGCGTTCTCAATTTCTGCCGTTTGTTGCGGTCGTCGCTTTTGGCCACATTAAAATGACCGCCGACGATGACAACAGCAACAGCAGCAGCAGCAGCAGTAACAGCAACAGCAACAGCAACAACAACAGCTGTATTGAGCAGTTACAACAACAATATTGTAAGCGCAGCTCATGCTTCAGTTGAAAGGTGCAACCGCTTGAAAAATAAAATAAAATATAAAAAAAAAATTGATAAAACAAAAAAACAAACGGGGCAAAAACACAAAACTCGACCAATTCGCGCGAAGTTGAAATGAAGAAGATCCAGCGGCCAAAGTGAAAGATGGCAAGTTAAGTGGAATGACATGGCAAGAAAAAGCAAAGTAAGCCCCACTGATCTCAAGTACGCTGCTCCTGCAGATGCGCAAAATATTTCTCAAGTTGATTCTACCTGCTGTGCAGGCAAAGCTACCAAAGCTCCCTGCCTCCCTCCCTCCCTCCCTAACCCACCTTCTCCCGCACTCCCCCTCGACCAGTTGCCAACCACATTTTAGCATTCTTTAGAAAAAGAGTTGCAGGCGCAAGCAGCTGAGAAGAACCGTGTTTATTAAGTTAGGAGCTCGCCTCGAACTGAATGAATTTGCACAAAGCGCCAACAGCAGCAACAACAACAAAAACAACAACAACAACAACAGCAACAGCAACAACAACAACAGCAACAGCAAAAAGCGAAGCTGGCAAGCGCCTTTTGGGAACGGGTCATTAGTTAAAATGATGGCGATTATTTCGACTTGTAAGCCTAGCAGCCGGCAAGCGGATACACGCCAACGACCATTACAACTCCATCTTCATCTTCATATCCAACTACAACAACAAGAACACCAACAACAACAACAAGAAAAAAGCCTTTAGCAGCCTCTCCGTCTGTCTCTGTGTGCGCAGTGCTCCAAAGCGACAACAAAACCAAGTGGCAACAAGTCGCAGCAGTCCTAGTTTTGAGCTGCAGCTCGAGTTGGATTTCGAGTTTTGGGCTCTCGTGTAGTCATCGTGCTATTAAGCAGCCAACAAGACAAGAAAGCCGGCAAACTCCGACAAAAAACCAAACAAAACAAGACAGATCAGCTTACTTTGGCAAGCAGCAGATTAAATACCCTTTCAAATTTGAGGCAAACTACTTACAGGAATATTAATGTGTATATAATATATATATATTATTGAAGCCTAATAAGACTCCTAACTAGAGAGATTAAAAACTCTAGAAGAACAAAGAAATTTCCTTGACCTTTCAGCGAATTCCTTTTAAAGGAACAGTATAATAATGTTGATTAAACTTTGGCAAAATATTAATATCCTTGTAAAATACTTGATTACGATATCTTGTAAAAGAAATGAGTTGTTCATACGAGAAATCATATCTCTATCAATAGTTACTATTGGAATTAGACTAATCAGTTGCCCAATTCAGCCAATTACTACGTATATATATAGATATATATGCATAGACTGAAGCAAGGATAGCTTCTGTATATATATATAGCATAAAGACATATTTCTTCAGTTCGCGTTACACATTGCATGACAAACCATAAACTCCCTCTTTAAGGGCATATAAAAATCAACAGCAACAAACAAAATATGAAATTAAAAGCCGTTCACATACGACGATACTATACTATATATGTATATATGTCTGCCCGACTGGCTGACTGGCTGCCTGGCTGACTGCCTGCCATTCAATGGGGCATCAAGATCGACAGCGCCAGCAATAATGATGAGCATCAACTGAGACATTCTAACCAGATACCCCCTCGACAGACAGTCAGACAGAGACAGAGAGAGAGAGAGAGAGAGAGACAGTGAGAGGGAGATAGAGAGAGAGGGAGATGGGGAGAGTTAGGGTAAGGAGAACAGAGCAAATAAGAGGCGCTGACTTTTCAAGCATTGAGTGCTGAAAAATTGTTAACATTTTTGCTACTGCACTTGAGCACAGCAGGCTCTTGGCCGTCTTGCCGGGTTTTTGGAGTATCTGCTCCGCGATACGAACGATATACACTTTGATGGTTGTTTTATATAAATATTCTTGTTGTTGTTTTTGTAGTCAGTTGGTAAATCAATCATAACAGCAGCTAGACAGAGCCACAGCCGACAGAGCTGACAGAGCTGACAGAGCAGCATTAGAAAGGCCAAACTGGCAACTGGCAGAGCAGCTCCCGAAATTGAGTTATTAAGATATTAACTATCAAATTTAAACAGCTGGCAGTCAAACAGTGGCGCAATAAAATTTTCGTCAAGCCCTGTTAACTGAGATACAAATGTAATGCATTACAAATGCGCTGCATAAAGCAGTCTTTGGCATGCAAATCGTTGTGCATTTTTGCCAAGTAATGGATTATACTTTAATCGATGTGGTAATCTCTTCCTCTAATGCTTTGCAACTAGTTTGCATTATATTTGTGAGTCATCTCAGAAAGACATTTATATTATCTTTACTTGAAAATCCTCAAAAAACTGTGGGATACACTGTGATGTAAAATTTAAATATATTTTAGGTAAAAGTAACTTTGATAAATGATTTTTCTCTTTGCCAATATTTTTGTTAATATTTTCTCAAATAATTGATATATAACTAATCTCTATTCCATAAGAAAAATGCTCTTTGTTACTGGGACTTTTTCTATATTTTATATTTAGGATATTTTAAAAGATATACTAAACAGATCAGAACTGTAACAACAGTCATTATCAGTAGCTTCTTTATCCACAACAGACAACAGAGTATCCAGCAGTCGACCAATTTTGACTGCAGCATTCTGACAGCCTTAAATTCCTTCGTGAAACAGCAAATTTTTCAATGTGAAATATGAAGTTTAGCGGCCTTTTAAAACTCGATAAGAAATACATCAAAATGTGTGGTTAAGTTTAAAAGAAATATCTACAATTTCCAGCAGAAATCTTAAGCAAAACTTAATGAAATAATTTGTTAATGGAAAGAATTTGAGATTTGAAATAGGAACAACTGTTCAGTTTTCTGTTGAATGTCTTGTGGCTAATTCAATTAGCAAGTCATAGGCTTGAGTTCGTTCAATTATAAAGCACCACTTGATGGACGATCCAAAAAGAGGGGGAGTTGAAGATGGATTGAGAGGGAACGAGATGGTTGGTAGAGCGAGAGGGGGCCAAGTGGTATTCATTCAATGTAATTCATAAAATCCACACAGATTATTTTATTGCGTGAATTACACAAAATGAAATGCGAGCTCGTGATAGCCACTAAAAATCTACACACACACGCACACACTCAGGGCAACACACACGCACAACAACCAAGCGCCTCAAAAACAGAAGCCAAATTAGGAGACACAGTGGGCGGGTGTCAGTGAACACGGCATGAATTATGCGGGCGAGAGGGTGCAGGGGGCAGGGGGGAGGGGGGCCGCAACAACTGTGGCAACAACAGCAATTTGTCAAGCACAGAGCACACGAAATGAGGCAGCAGAAATGAAATCAACGGCAATTGAAATGGGAATAAGATTTGTAGTGTGTGTTTTTGTATGCACAGAAGTGTAATAAAAATGAATGGGAATAACAATAACAAATACAACAAAAGCAACAACAACAACAAATAAACACACGCATACAACAAATATGTTGTAAATGTCAATGATCAATCAAAATATTACACACACATATTATGTGGTTAAAGAAATTACCTCGGGAAAATAAAGAAATTGAAGGACGACTCTAATGTTGATGATGATGATGATGATGATGGTGAGTAGAAGAAGAACCCTGTGAACTGGGCTCAAGTGCTCAAGAGGCTGTTCATCGATTTCCCAACAGCTCGAATTCTAATGAAGAAAGGTTGCCGATGCGACTACGATGTGAAGCCCCCAAAATGATGGAGTCTCCGGTCGAATCCAGTCCAGTCAGAAGCTGCAGCCATTGTCAATATCCAAATCCGAGTGCCCACTTGGCTGCGCGTTCGGACAGGCACACTTGAGCCCCATAAGTACCCATACCCAATACCAAAAAGAAAGAAAAAAAAATAAAAATAAAATAAAAACCAGGCAGTTTCCAACCGAACCGAGAGAAACACTCAAAGATGTTTGCACAAAGCAACTACCGTTTCGGTGGCTTGTGAGAAAAATATACAAGATACAAGATACAATGCAGGAGGAGCAGGAAGAAGCAGGAGAGTGATGTGTGGAGGGGGAGGGCGGTGTTCATCGCCCACTTCAGCAGCGTGTAGAAAGTGTATTAAAGAAATCAATGTTATAAAGAATGAACACAAAGTTTAAGAGTCATTCGAGTCAGCCTCATCGAACACCGGATGTGGATGTGAATGAGTGAATGTGCATCATAGTTGGACTTGTGCTGGGGGAAGGGAGTGGGTGGAGGGGGAGGGGATGGGAGTACATTCATATATTGACAAGTGAAATGTATAACGAGTAGCGCTGTAGCAAAAGTAAATTGTGCAAATAAGCGAACCCAACTGAAACTGGAACTGAGCAAAAGATAACAAAATATTCAAATTGAACAAATTTTAAATCCCGTTTGTCAACAGATCTCAGACGAGAGAGCAATATAAAAAAAAAATACAAAAATGGGCATTTGAGCGGCAACAACGACAAAATAAACGTTGATTGCGTTTAGCGCCGGGGCACAACCCAAAACTCAAACTCAAACTCAAACCCAAAACCCAAAACTCAACCCCCGGAACAAAATGTTATTCGGTCCACTTAAGCGCTCGAACCCCTGGGATTTGGGCACTTCTCTACTACTGCTGCCACTTCTGCCTCTGCTGCTGTCTAAATATTTACACAATTTATAACTTTCAATTTGAATGACACAATTATCGAAATGCGTTGAGTTTAAATTCATTGCGCCTCAATTTGCATTATGCCTAACAAATAATGTCAATTTTAATCGATTGCTGGTATCAACATTCGAGGATATTTTAAGAAATATAACAGAGTTTGGAACTGTAGAATTGCTGACATCAATATAAGATAATAGTTACTGTATTCACTCATTGGGTATTACTATGTCCATTCAAATGCTTAAATTGTTAAATGTAAACTTTAATATCTATAGGATATATCTATATCTAACCTTCACAGAACTGAAGATTAACTTAGCTTTTCACACCACATTTTCCATTTTCTTAGTGCTGTCTACAAATGTATTTTTCCTTAAATAATTTAAGGTTTAAAACAAAAAACTTCAATCTCAACTTGAACTAATTTTTGTTTCATTAACTTCGCATTGCTCATGCCTAAAAATATTTATTTAAGACAAAATCAATTTAAGAACGTTTCCAAAACAAAACACATTTATTTTTCAATTATTTCAATTTCAATTTTTAAATTAAGCAATATTCGCAGCTAAAAATTGATTATAATCGATAGTTTCAAATGGCTTAACATTCAAATTTCAGAGCCATATTTTAATAAGGAGAAAGAGTTGTAAACCTTTTTTTTTGCTTTTGGCCTATGATCAGATCGTATTACCAGGCAGCATTCTTGCAGCTGAATAAGTTTTCACAATACCAACAGAAAGAGAGAGGGGGAAAGGGTGAGGTAGAGGGAGAGAGGGAGAGGGAGAGAGAGAGGGAGGCAGTGACCAAATACGTATACAAGAATCTTCTGACATGAGCCGATTAAGGCATTTCAATGTCTCGGCCCGCTGCTCAGGTTACCAGTTAACCGTGGAGGGTATCTGCAGGGTTAACTCTACCTCCCTTTCTACCTCTTTCTCTCTCTCTCTCTCACACGCACTCTGTCGCTCTCTCTGTCTGCCCTTCTCTGGGGCTGTGTCCATGCGAATGTCACTCACTTTCTGTTGTGTCCACGCGGGTAATTACATACGTGTCATTTCGGTTTCGGTTAGGTGCCACAGTATCAGATTCCCAACACACACACACACACACACATTTATATATATATATATATTTATACGTATTTAAACCCTTTTTGGGTCTCTGATCTGTTTGGTCAATTGTTTGGAAAATATATATCATATTCGTATCGAACTTCAATGAAGCGATAAACACGACCTTGGATCAGCGCCCGTGCCAGATTTGTACGCAGATACTATATATATATATATATATATTGCTTATCGAAGAGTTATTAAAAGCAAGTTGCTGCTTGGAGCTTCAGTGAAGCGTAATCGCTACCGCTAAAAGCTACAATTTCACAAAAATTTGTCAGCCATTTTTGTATGGTTCGCTTTTTGACCCACCGCAAACTCGAACTTCCCATAGTTCCCATAAACGCATAACTTTCCCAAAAAAGAACTGGCCGTTGATAATCATATGGGAGATTCATATACTGGCAACCCAGCAGCGGGTAGCAGTAGTCAGAATCGTTTGATCTGTGCCAGTTATTCATCAGCAGTCATGGATAGACTGGTGGAGAATGATGCGAGTGTCAAGTGGTAAATGGTAATCCATCAAGTTGGCGCATTAGGCAACTAAACGATTCCATTTTCAAGCCCGAACACCCGACAGAAAAACACCGCAGAACACAAAATGGAAATAAAAACAGGAAAAAAATGAAACAAAAGGTAGCCGCAGATATATTTCGCAGCTCCAACTGAGTTGTGACTGCGACGGATTGTTCGCGGGGCATTTGTTGCTCCCAGTGCCAGGGCATCATTAATCACACAACACGAGCCGCAAAAGGACAAGGGAATGGGGACAGGCAGAAGGCTGTGCAACATTATTAATGCTGATGGGTCAACAAATTGCGGCAAAAGTTCGGAGCGAATCCTAACCGATAATTATGACAGTGCAGGAGTCATGGTGTGATGCAGATGATGATGTATATGAGTACCGAACACCACTCGAAAACATCTCAGCTCCCCACCCCTCTATCTGCCTCTCTCTGTCTCTGTCTCTGTCTCTGTCACACTCTCACTGATGACTCTATAAATATGCCGACGATGCGGCCACTGTTGCACAGTTGCTTCTCCTAATCAAGTCATCTCCGTGTGTCCAGGGGCCAGCACACCTTTGTTTTGGCCACAGATAATTTGTCTTAACCATGTGTGAAAGTTGCGTCAGATTTATCGGCCGCCTGCCCGCCGACAAATGAACCCCATAATGGGCGTATTTAGAGGCGACCCAAACACGCAACAAACTTGCAGCATGCAACACATGCTCGCCCTATTCACTAATTAACACCGTAAGACCGTTCAAAACCTAATTAAAGTTGCATTTTCAGTTAACAAGTGAGAATATACCAAATGAACACCTCTCACAATTTGAACTCAGATCACTACTTGCATTTGTCACGGATCATAAATTGTTGTTGCTTTATATAAAACCACTAAACGTTTACACGGCATAATTAACTCTTTCACCAGTCTTAGAATGCTGCTCATTTTGAGTCTGTAAGCCTCACAGATCAGTCATTAATATCAACTAATTAACCCTTTAGTTATAGCGTTTAGAAAGAGGCGTTGAAAGTTGTGTTTTATAGATCAAAATAGAAGGGAAAGGAAAGAAAGATTTTGATTAAATAGTCAGATATTCTCTCTCTTAAGAATGTGTTTTACTTTCTTTACTCAATTAAATAATTAAAATGGCAATATAATAGGGAAAAATCACACTTCTTATATATAATAGTAAAAATCTCGAAATTGTGGTTTACTATTATTATTATGGGGGGGATTGCACCGATCTATTGTGCCCCCTTCTGAGCCTGTAGCTCTTCCATCAGCCCCAGTTCCCGCACGAATATTAGGATCTTTGTTGGGTTGAGGTCTTCCATGTCTCTGAAATTCATAACATGCATCCCTAGGATGCTGTGCCTTCTTCTAGTTAAGGCGACACATTCTGCTAGGATGCATCGAGGTTTCCTCCGCCCTTTCACAAAACCTGCACAAATCGCTACTATAAATACCTAGTTTAGATATGTGAATTGTGGTTTATACTTTATCGAAATTAATTACAATATTTATTATATAAATGTTAAACAGATATATGAGTCTTATAATTGAAAGGTGCACTTAAGCTATGAATTATTAAAATCTGTTCAGAGAATATTTTATATAGTATATTTGAAGTAAATTAAACACACTGCTCACATTACAGTTCACCGCTTTTAATTAACCTTTTCTAATGAACATTTTTTACACACATTACTCAGCAATAATAAGTTGAATAATATTTAATGTTTTCTAATGAACAATAATGCAAATTGCTGAGATTTATTAATGAGAGATTTAAGCCTAAGGGGGATGGACTCTAAGCTAAAATATTACAAATTAATCTAAAGAAAAAATTGAATAATATACATAAATTCCAGATAATAAGATCAACAATTAAAGGCTTTAAAATTAAGACAATTCATTACTTAATCAATCATTACTTAATCAATCATTACATAATCAATCATTACCTAATCAATCATTACTAACTCTTTTTCGATCCTTCTCTCTCTTTGCAGCATACAGCACAATCAGAACAATTCGGGAATGGGTTGCCGCAGCCGTCGGGCTGAAGGAGCCGCATCGCCAACTCCATCGGATAGCTCCGATTCGGATATATCTCTGGGCACGCATTCGCCGGTGCCGAGTAGTTTGCAGCTCCAGCACAGTCCCGGCAGCATGTCCAACGGGGCCAACGAGGAGAGTCTCAGCGTCGACGACGATAAGCCGCGTGATTTGAGCAGTGCGCTGCCTTCGCCGACCCCACCGCAGCTGCCGTCGGCATATGGTGGGGGCGGTGGAGCGGGTGCTCCAGCTGGACTACCCAGCTGTTTGCCGCCGTTCAAGCTGGATGCGGCGAGCAGCCTGTTCAATGCTGGCTGCTACCTGCAAAGCTTTAGCAACCTGAAGGAGATGTCCCAGCAGTTTCCCATCCAGCCGATTGTCATCCGGCCGCATCCGCAGCTGCCACAGCCGTTGGCACTAAATGGCAGCGCTGGTGGCGGCGCCGGAGGAGCACCACATCTGCATCATCCGGCGTATGCGGCTGCGTATAGTGTCGAGTGTGGTGTTGTGGTGCCACCACTGCCGCCCAAGCTGCGCATCAATTCACCCGAGAAACTCAACTCGACAGCGGTGGCAGCTGCGGCGGCGGCAGCGGTGGCCGCCTGTGCAACGACGACGACAACAGCGACGGCAACGACGGGCTATCATCACAGTGGCCAGCTGTTGCATCGTCCGTTCTCCACATCGCCAGAGTTGAAGCATAGTGCGCCGGAGATCACATGATATCATCAGCGCGTGTGAGGCGGCGGCGGCCTTGCCCCAAGGGTTTCTCTGCACAGTCCCTCCACCCGCTGCTCCTCCCGCTCCTCCCGCCCCTTGCACTAAGGCCCAGCTAATTCAAATTGTTTCAATTTTTATTAAGTTTAAGTCATTGCGTTAGTTAAGCATTCAACTTCGGGTACAATTCGAGCGCCCGAAAGCAATAACAACTTCATTTCGTACTGGCATCTGTTTCCTAAAATAAAGAATAAAAACAAGAAGAAAAACTATACATAAAGTACATAAAGTACAGCTGAGGAGAAATATCGAAAAACAACAGAAATATATAGTATATATATATATATATATACTTATATTTATAAAACTTGGTCGCACACTTTTCAAAGATAGTTATTTAAGATTTACGCATATGAAAATCGAATTGGGGAACTGACAAAAAAAACAAAAAAAAATACAAAAATAAACAAAAAACAAACAACTGAAAATTCAAGCAGTTTTTCATTCTAATTTCTGTGTGTGTACGTATTTGTAAATAGAGTTTAAGTATGCAAATCATAGTGCTTACGTATACATTTAGAATGCAATAAAAACAATACAAAAACAAAAACAAACGAAATGAAACAGTTAAGAATTTAAATCATTACCGAAAACAATTGCAATTGATCTTTTTATTTGAGGGTTGGGCAATTTCAGCAGGAAAGAACCAAACTTTAAACTTTAATTGAGAGTTAAGACTCAACTCGAAACTTATTTGAAGGCAAGTAGAAGAATTGCCATGGAATGGAAATTTTCTAATACCTATTCAAGAAAATAACTCAAGTAAATTTTTAATATTTTCTGGGTATTTAAGGGGATTTAAGGATTTAAGAAAGCTTTAAAGAGACAAACATTATGGACACTTCAGAGAAATGGAAACTACGACAATTATATTGATCAAATATTGTCAAATATCAAAATGAATTAAACATATTTCATAGAGGACTTTCATGACAAAAGAAGTCTAAGGAAATTAAATTTATTTATTTTCAGGGAAGCGAATTATCATTTATAGTTATTACTAAAGGAATTATCCCAAGATTTTTATAAAAAATATTGCTTAAAACAACTAATCAAAACCTAATCAAGCGAACAAGGTACCGCAATATAATATATATATATTTATATTATATTATTAAGATATAGTATTGCTTAAAACTATTACTAAAAGAATATTTTTGTGGACACATTTTCCATTTAAAACATATGAATCAGAACCTAAACATTTAAAAGAAATAATCTTTTAAAACCATTCCAAAGCAAGTTCAATTAACTTAGTACAAAAAGCAAAATATCTTTAGATAAGTTTATATGTTAGCATATGCTGCTTAGTTTCAGCACATTCCGGTTTTGCGCAGTGTACTTGCTGTCGTTGCTTAAGCCCTGTTAGGGGATCTGCTATTCTAGCAGTTGATATTTATTTTGAAATAAAATATCAATTTCTGTGTAAACAACAACAAACGCTGACTTGGAAAAAATAAAGGCGAGTGTATTGAAATGCTGCCACCGAGCCGCAAATGCAGCCAGAAGTCAACTGCAACAACAGTGCGTCGAGGGAAACAACAACAACATCAAAAGCAAAACAAAATATCAGCCTGCTAAAAACTGTGGCGTCGACGTCGGCGTCAGCGTCGGCGTCGGTGTCGACGCTTTGGTTGAACACTGGCGCCAACGATGACATGTCCTACTTGAGTGGTTTACTTAGCTGCCTTATGAAAATATCCGTGCTGTGGGCAAACACACACACACACACACAAACACACACACACACACACAAGCGATCACATCAGCAGCGACCCGCTCACCCAGCCAGATCAGTATAAGAGCTAAAACAGCTAAAACAGCCCATCAGGCTGTAGATCCATAAATGACTCTACGGCCAGACGATGGCAGAGGCCACCAAAACTGACGCGTCACTGTCACTCACACACAAATGCAACGCATCATCATCGTCATTATGAGCCCTGGAAGAGTGCCCTGGGAAACACACATATATGCTATATACGTATTTACATACCTACATACCTACATACATATATTTAAAAGAGCACAGCAGCCAGCAGCCAGTTTCATATGCATATATACAAATATATTTATGTGTAGAACTTACCTCTGAATGCACTCAGCAAAAACAATCAACCTAAATTCAAGGACAAATAGTTATTAATTAATATTAAATTAATATATATATATTTTAATAAATATAATATTTGTTATTTAATTCCTACTACTTGGTTCCAATTTATAGTACAACTTATTCTCGAATATTTTTAAATGTATATAAAATCATTAAATTAAATATATAAATATGATTTAATAAATATAATATATATTTTCTCATTCATATGACTTTGTTCCATTTAAATTTTATAGTTCAATTTATTCTCGAATATTTTAAAATTTATATAAAATCATTAAATTAAATATATAAATATGATTTAATAAATATAATATGTAGTTTCTCATTCTTATTACTTTGTTCCATTTAAATTTTATAGTTCAATTTATTCTCGAATATTTTTAAATTTATATAAAAATCATCCCAAATTTTGCAATTGATAAAATCTCTTTAATCAACAATTTTAAAATGAAATTTTAATTTATTCTAGAAAATTCAGCTGCTTTGTTAAAATCGACAAACGCTATTAAATCGAGCATTTTAATTTTAAAGTTTTTAATTTCTTTAATCTTAATTATTCTGGAATATCTATGAAATTATTCTCGATTTCAAAATGGACAACATAGCTTAAATCAATCAACATTTAAAAACTTCTTGTTGTAATTTTAATATCTTTAAAATTTGACTTAGTTTTATTAGTATTGAATTTATCTTAATTTTCATTGCACTTTTGTACTTAAAATTGTCCAAGTGATGTAAATAAAAATGTGTTTGACATGTTTTTAAATTAAAAACAATCATACTTAAATTATTCCTTAACAGACTTACAATCAAACATTTGCAGAATAACAAAAAATTAGTCAAATTCTCGTTCTCAGACAACAACAATCACATATTCACACCCATTTTCTTCGAGTGTAGACATATATGCGATATAATCTGTAGCGCGATTAGATGCAACAACAGCAGGCTACAGATTGTTTTCGTTATGTTTCTTTTGGACCGCCTAGATGACTGACTAGTTGTATAAGTGCTTCCTTCTTACAGCCAAATTTCGGGCTCAAATTACAAGGTGAGCGAGAGAGCCATGTGGAAGTTGTCAGTCAGTCAGTCTGTCAGCCAGGCAGCCAGGCAGCCAGGCAGCCAGCCAGGCCAGCCGGCGGGCAGGCGGGCAGGGGTAGGCAGTCACTTGAAAGCCCCTGCAATTATCAGTAGCTGGCGCTCGTCTCCCATCAAACAGATGCACACACAAATGTACATATTGAGTATACGCCACATTGTCAGTTAATTTTCGCCTTTCAGTTGTCGCTTGTAGAGTTTTAGTTTTCGGCGCCGACGTTCGTCGCAACGTCATCGTCATCATTAAGCATGATGTGACACTTTTGACCTCATTTTCAAATCTACCCCCCAGCCCCCCTCACCGGCTCTGCACACCCGCAACCATTGCCATACCATCTATTTGCCACATTTTGTGGCAGCCATCGATAGCCGATGAATGCGAACGCATTCGTTTCGATGATTGTCATACATTTTAATTAGCTTTTCGTAGTGTTTTTTGTTTGTGGTTTTGGCTGAGACAAAAAATGGCATCTGGCTGTGTGTAATTAATTTTACACTCTGTCTGTTTGCAATGCGCATTCCAAGGCTATTTACCAATTACAGCAACAGCGGCTAAAACAGCAGCAGCAACAGCAGCAGCAACAGCAACAGCAACAGCAACAACAACAACAAACAGCAGCTAAAACAACAAACATTCAAGTGTCTGTGCGTCTCTGCTCCTGGTTTTTTTTTTATATCAAATTAATGCGTTACCCCGTCTCTCTCTCTCTATATATAGCTATCTCTCTCTTGCTTCTGAATCCACTTCACACCTCAAAATGTCCTTTTTTTTTGGGTGGTTATTTCGATTTACATATTTACAAGGCGACTCAATTAGTTAAACCACAAAATGTAAAAAGCCGACATCGGCCTCAACACAAGTTTTACATTCTGTGTACATTTAAAATTGAATTTATGCACCCTCCAAGTTGCCAGCTTGCCAGCTTGCCAGCTTGCCTCTCTCAATTTATTTGGCGTTTCTCCAACTGCTAACTCCAAATCGTTGCCCTCCACAACCTTCCACGGGTTTTGGACAGTGGAGTCCATAGGCATTAAAAATTGCAAAATTTTTTGCTTAGCTGCGTTGCTAGATTTTCATGTGACAATGTAATTAAATGTAAAATATCTCATAAATATTGCATTTTTCAATTTGAATAAATAATAATAAAAAAACTATTAATGATATTACTTTGTCAATGTGAGTAAATATCTCATAAATATTTAAGTTTGCCAGTTGCTTACTTCAATGTGTGCATATATAAAAACCATTAATAAACTGTGATATGAATAAAAGTAATTGTAGACAACAACTCATCTCGGTAAAGCAGGAATCTGAATTGTATAAAATTATAGCTCGTTGGCGATCTTAGAGATTATATAACTTAAAGATTCCTCATTTGTTATGTGCTATCTGAAATCTGTAGTTTAGTTGTTGATAAGAGCTCTAAAAAGATAACATAACAAGATATTATTTAAATGTTATTTTACACATGCTCAGCACAAACTTATCTCTCGGCAAGTAGCTACAAAACATTGGAAAAAATAACTGAACACTTTCAATAGGAATTCTCAAAGTTAACTAGGAAATATTGAGTAATCAACAGTTGAGTAAGCCATTGTCGATGACGAAGTATTTGTTAAATTACTTTTTATACCCCGAATCCATTAATTATGAGTAAAAAGTGTAAAATGCTTTTGTGCAGTTGTATTTAACAGGCAGCATGAGGCATCTCCGACTCTATAAAGTTTATATTTTAGTGATCAGGGGTCAGAAGCCGAGTCGATTTAGCCACTATCGATAAATTATCTATTTCAGTTTAGGGGATCTCCCAGACGAGCTCTTTCGACTCGACCACTTTCTAATCATTACTTACACCCTTATTAGCTATTTGATTGCTTTGCGTCACTGTGCCGGCTTATTGGCCTCCCGCATATGGGCTAAAGACTGGAGAGACTGGCAGACAATATACCCACTGCTCTGCCCCGATATGCCCTAACCATTTAGCAAACAATATGCAGCAACTGAGTTAAACATTTGATGCTCACATCTTCAGATAGACATTCGCGAGGGAGATGATGGACCAAATGAACCCCATCATTAAGTGCGCAAATGTACTGTAAATAGACAAACGCGCTTTGAATAAAATTTAACAAAAAGCCAAAGAGTTGCACTCTTTGTGGGGG